TTAGTTCTGCTCGTATAAGCCCAATGGAGCATGAACAACCGTTCTTTTCATGTCTAAGGAGAGTCGAGTGCTTTGCCGCAAAATATGGCGCATGGCATCCAACATCCCGGAATCCGGAACACCAGCATAAAGCCCAAAACCCGAACCCCTAAACCTCAACGCCTCGATAAGCCCTCACTCCTTGACCCTACACTCCGAAGCCTTACTTACAACCCTCCTTGACTACCTATGGACCGGTCCTTAACCCAAAACCCGACAAACCCCAAGCCCTGAAGCATCGCAGAGGCAGGCCAAGACAGTGTCAATGTGGGGGAACGTGCAAGCCGGCGGCTACTTCGATGACCAGGAGGTGGAGCTCATCGACGACCAACGGCACATCGACTGCAATTCCAGGTTGGAGATTGATATAGGTCTGGTTTAGGGTGTGTGGACCTTGCAAAATGATTGTCTAGAAGAGGATACCCTGGTGACGAAGACCAAGGGAGAGTACTCACTATTATTCCCCATACACACGTGCTCAAGCCCTAAACCCTGAACCCCTAGTTCCTTGATTCCTGGGCCCCTTTGGTGCTCCTTAGGAGTGGGAGATCTGACAGGGACTGGGGAGTGGTGCCCTGGGGCCTCAAACAAATTGTCGCGAGTACATCCAGCAGGAGTACCAACCCGAAGGACTGTTGAGGTTTAAGTTGGGGATAGGGAGGGCTCAGGGTTTAGGGTTAGGGATCGGGAGCCGTCACTATCCTAAGCCCTGAACCCAAAGCCCCAAGCCCTAAGCCCAAACCCTAAACCCCAAACCCTAATTCCTGACCTCACGTAACCGAGGTGCGAGGCCACTTTGCTTGGTCCCTGATGGAGAACTTCGAGCGGGCGCTCGGGTGCCCTTGCTGTCTCGGTTCAGTTAAATACTGGGGTTCAGGGCTTAGATTTCTAACAGAAAAGGTTCAACAAGTTTTCAAGGGACGAAGGGAGGGACTCTTATAAGGGACCTTCGGCGTTATGTAGGGTTCCCATGCTAAGGTTTGTAGTATGTTGGGGTCATATTAGGGGTACTCCTTTTTTGGGAACTGCCCATGTCAATGACTGCAGACATGGAACAGAGCACTTGATGTTCCTGTAGTCTGGGTTCAGCGTGGTTTAGAGTGACAAGTCGCTCATCCACCCTCGCAAATGATGCAATCCAGGCTTCTACACTACTGTGACGCAATGCAAATGGGCATTATTTGACAGGTACTCAAAGCGGGTTCGGAATGGTGTACATCGATTACGAGACGCAAAAGAGGCCGCGGGTTTCATCTTGCACAGTGGTTCGCAGTCTGAGTATGCGAGGGGCATCAGGACCCACACACAGTGTTTCTAGAGGATTCGGATGACAGCCCTAAACCCTGCAGCCCAAAACCCTATAAACGTTGAACCCCAAATCGCCCACAAGAAGCAACACCTTAGCTTGACAGAGGACGCCGAAGCAGTCCACGCTGCTCATCTCGGAGGTGGCGCAGTCGAACAGACTCTGCCGGAATCCACTTTCCAGGCCGCCGTTGTAACTTGTCGGGTTTGGGGTTCATTGAGGTCGTTGGAAGGGCTTCAGGCGCTGCATACCGTATAGCCTTACGTTTGATTTTTTACCTTGCTGATCAGAAATGACCCCGGCACCGACGAGCCCGAGTTATCCCGACGCCAGGATCGGGGACCTAGCAGCAGTTTAAGGTTGGCGGCGGTTTAAGGTTGGCTGGCAGCCTCGCCAGATTCCGACACCGGCCTCTTCATTGTTTGCACTTTGGTTTGTGGTTTGAGGTTTACATAATAGGGTGTAGGCTTTGGGGTTTCGGAGTTCGGTGTTTTAATTCGCCTCACCCGACACAGGAATCCGACTTCGTGATGATCGAGGAGGGTGCCGGGCGCAAGACGACGAAAGATGCACCGGTCAGAAGAAGGGCTGAGAGCAGCTTCTGCGGTGGCCTATAGGGCGTTCGGTCTAGGGTTTAGTAGTGTTGAGTTTTTGGGCTTTAGCTCTTTCTGGCTAGAAGCAAGACCAGGCACGTGCTTGCATAGTTTTTCATCCACGCAACCATGCTTGTCCATGCAACCTTGCATGAGACATTGGTAGATGCAGGAGGCTGTTTGTGGCAAGTATGGCTTGTTGGCGGTCACATGTATCACGCCCGAGGTCAAACAGACCTGTTCTTTTGACATGGGTGGCGAGATAAGATGTTTTGTCCTCCAAGATTCCGAGCTCTGCTGAACAGCAGTGCTATGGCTCTACGAAGCTGCAAGCTTCTCACCTGACAGAAGCCCTCAGCATTCCAATGCTGAACAGGACCAGTATGTTTTGCCTAAGCAACCAGTTCGACAGCTCGATGTGGTGCGGACGAAACACGAGCCAAGATGCACCCAGCAGCACGACGTGAAATATGGATCCTGGAGTGACCCTTATAGGCCCAGATATGTGGAGCTTCTGCACATTCTACGCTTCTGAACTCTCATAAGCTGGTGTCACTTTGAGCAGCCTACGTAGAGATGCTGTCGTGACTGTCCCGTGTCGAGCTGTGGCTCAAGATACCCAAGAGCTTGCAACCATTTGTTTAGTCATGGCCAGCACAATCTTCCAGCTGCCGCCTGCGTTTGTAGGTGAGCAGGCTGTGTATGGGCCAAATTATCGCGGAGGCCTCGCGCCTCCAGCGGATCACTGGGCCAAGACCGCCCACCCCAGGGCACCCTGGCCCCCCGGGCCACTCCAGCAGTTCCAGCAGTGGCCACTCCAGCAGTGGTGCTGGGCACCAGCTTCCCCACCGGGGCTGTGCTACCAGCCTGCCCCGGCAACCGCCTGGATGCCTGTGAACCAGGCACCCTATGCACCCGTGCCTCCACCCATATTCTATCCAATGCCATGCCCTCAATACCAGCCGGCAACTCCTGCCTGGACTCCCGCTCCCCAAGCACCCATGCCCATGCCTCCGCCACCACCACCAGCGCACTTCCCACCACCACTCCCTCCCACGCAAGCGCCCTTGCAGGCTCCCGAAGCACCGCCCACGGCACATCCGGCGCCCTCCAAGGAGCCAAGCACGCACAAGCCCCGCTGGGCAGACCTTTCAGAGGAGCCCCCAAAGTGGGATGTCACAGATGTCGCGACCTCGTCCCAGGAGCCCCTTCCCACGCTGCTTCCCCGCCCTCCACGTGGCCCGCAAGGGAAGGGGCGAGGGAAAGGATCAAAAGGTCACGGCAAGGGAAAGGGAACGAGAAAGTGGCGCCAGTAAGGGAGGAGTCTCGGCGCAAGCATTCCTGCAGGCCTCTCTGAATGCACTCATGTCGCAGTGTTTTCACTCAGCATGAAGCATGAAGCATGAAGCATGAAGCAGCCATCTTGCGTAAGCTGACGCATTCCAGGACCTTGGCTGAAGCTACGCCAGAAGTCGCAGGCCACGGCGACGGCCCGATGCCTGAGAAGGGACGCAGTTCGAACGAGTCTGAAGTTAGAATCGTAGAAGAGGTGACAAAGCCCTCCCTCCATCGATTGTTTCATCTGTGGACACTTCGCCTAGCGAAGGACTGCCGTCCGGGCACCCGCCAGAAATTGATGTGTCGCAGTTGTGAGACCCAGCTGATTGCAGCTGCAAGCCATTGCAAGCCCTACCTCCTACCCACACCCTCAAATGACCCACACTGGCCTGCACATTGTTTATTTTGGGGCCGCAGTTTCTGGAGTTAGAATCGTAGAAGAGGTGACAAAGCCCTCCCTCCGTCGATTGTTTCATCTGTGGACACTTCGCCTAGCGAAGGACTGCTGTCCGGGCACCCGCCAGAAATTGATGTGTCGCAGTTGTGAGACCCAGCTCATTGCAGCTGCAAGCCATTGCAAGCCCTACCTCCTACCCACACAGTCAAATGACCAGCGTTCCTGCACATTGCTTATTTTGGGCCGCAGTTTCTGGAGTTAGAATCGTAGAAGAGGTGACAAAGCCCTCCCTCCGTCGAATGTTTCATCTGTGGAAACTTCGCCTAGCGAAGGACTGCCGTCCGGGCACCCGCCAGAAATTGATGTGTCGCAGTTGTGAGACCCAGCTCATTGCCGCTGCAAGCCATTGCAAGCCCTACCTCCTACCCACACCCTCAAATGACCCACACTGGCCTGCACATTGTTTATTTTGGCGCAGTTTCTGGAGTTAGAATCGTAGAAGAGGTGACAAAGCCCTCCCTCCGTCGATTGTTTCATCATGTGGACACTTCGCCTAGCGAAGGACTGCCGTCCGGGCACCCGCCAGAAATTGATGTGTCGCAGTTGCAGTTGTGAGACCCAGCTGATTGCAGCTTCGCAAGCCATTGCACACCCTACTCGTACCTACACCCTCAAATCACCCATGCTGGCCTACATTTCCTCTATTTTGTTGGGGGAGCCGCAGGCGGTCGTTCCGTGTGATCGTGAGGGTCCTCAAGTTAGCCCGAAACCAGGAATCATGGCGCTGGGTCCTCCGGGGGGTTCGCAGTCCCAGTCCCAAGAAAGAGCCCTGACACCTCGCTGTTCACGGGCTCAAACCCCACAGCTCTTTTCATTGCCACCTGACCAGTGTGTGCCGTATTTGCTTTCTTGCGCCTTGGCCGCATCTCGGTGGGTTTAAACTTAGGGTTTGGGGTTTAGGGTTTCGGGTTTAGGGTTTAGGGTTTAGGGTTTAGGGTTTAGGGTTTAGGCTTTGGGCTTTGGGGTTTGGGGTTTGGGGTTTAGGGCAAGCCGCAGCTGACAACTGTCGCCTGCTGCAGAAGCTAGGCAGTGCGAGCACAAATTCACTGGCAGAGGCGGCATCTGTGGGATTGCGGGGCGGCCTCGCAGCCCTACTTGCATCTTCAACTTGTAGTATAGGTTGCCTGACGTCTAAGTGCCCATGAACCTAAGTAGGGTTCTAAGTACCGTCATTAAAGTTTGTAATATAGGTTGCCTTACTTGTAACATGTGTAGCTACCCATGAACCTTCAAGTATCCCATGAGTGAGCTGCAATCTTTGCCCGAGGCCAGATAGCGGCGCCGAGCTGCCGTTGCTTGATGAGTGCTCTTGATGTTGCCACAGAAGTAACAAAGCTGCAGGCTTCTCACCAGAAGCCCTCAGCATGCCAATGCTGACCAGAACTACTGTATGTTGCCTAAGCAACCAGCCCGACAGCTCGACGTGGTGCGGACGAAACACGAGCCAAGCTGCACCCAGCTGCACGGTGCGAAGTCTGGATCGTGCCCTTGACGCTTGTGGGCCAGGATCCTGTAGCATGAAATCCTTAGACCTAGCCAGCGTGTGCCGGCCTGAGCGTAGATTTTGGCAGCAGCTTCGACACCCTGAACTCCAATCAGCCCTGAGCCCATTTTAGGGATGCCCGTACTTGAAGCTGGTGTCACATTGAGCAGCCTACGTACAGGTGTGCGACTGGGGATCCGGTGACGTACTGTGTCGCTCAAGATACCCAACAGCTTGTGTGTCGCAAGCTGTTGGGTATCTTGAGCCACACGTGCTGGACCATCTTTTCTCAAGGCCACAATGGGACGGACTATCGCGGAGGCCTCGCGCCTCCAGCGGATCATTGGGCCAAGACCTCCGGCGGTGGCCACTCCAGCACTGGTACTATTCACCAGCTTCCCCAGCGCCCCCACCTATCACAATGAGCTATGCTCCATAGCTCATTGTGATGGGTGGGGCGCTAGGGGCTGTGCTACCAGCCTGCCCCGGCCGCCTGGATGCATGTGGTGCTTGGCTTACAGACTCAGAGCATGGGCACGTTAACTACGTCAGAAGTTACGTCAACTTCCGTTTCTCATGCCTATGGCCAACTAGCTGGTTGACAAAGGTGAAAGTGATCAACCACAGGGGCGGCAGAAGTACGCTTATCAAGCTTTAGGTGTTTCGATTATCATTGTCTCTTGCAAGGATCCCCTGTAGTTGAAGATACCCCTCCTTAGTTCTGCTCGCAGGAGCCCAGTGGAGCTATGCAAAGCAACGTTTATCATGTCTAAGGAGAGTCGAGTGCTTTGCCGCAAAAAATGGTGCATGGCGTCCAACATCCCGGAATCCGGAACACCAGCATAAAGCCCAAAACCCGAACCCCTAAACCGAAAACCTTTGATAAGCCCTCCCCTCCTTGACCCTACACTTCGAATCCCTACTTGAAGGTTCATGGGTAGTGATGAGCGTAGGGTTAGAAGTTTCCTAGCATACAGGCTACCTTACTTACAACCCTCCTTGTAACTACCCATGGACTGGTCCTTAACCCAAAACCCGACAAACCCTAGGCCAAGACCGTGTCGATGTGCCCAGAGACTCCACACCCCCTTAATTCAGGAATATCCCTTAAATTAGAGTAGGAACCCTAATATGACTTAAGGTACATTCCTGAATTAAGGGGTTTTGGAGTCTCTGGGTGAGGGAACGTGCAAGCCGGCGGCGACTTCGATGACCAGGTGGAGCTCGTCAGCTCGTCGACCGACTGCAATTCCAGGTTGGAGATTGAAATAGGTCTGGTTTAGGGTTTGTGGGGTTCTTACCAAGTGAAGAAGAATCCCCTTATTGGGTTTAAGCGAACCGTATGTAGAAATGTGCTGTGCGAGGGTCAGCCAGCCGTGTATCTAAGCCCGAACCGAACTCGAAGAATCACCAGTATGCCGCTAGGTTCTTTTCCAGTCAGCATAGCTCCCGTGGCCCATGGCCTCCAGAGGAAGATACCCTGGTGACGAAGACCAAGGAAGAGTACTAGGATTCCCGATAGACATGCAACTCACCGCGCTTAAGCCCTAAACCCTTAACCCCTAGTTCCTTGATTCCTGGGCCCCTTTGGTGCTCCTTAGCTGGGGGAGATCTGACAGGGACTGGGGAGTGGTGCCCTGGGGCCTCAAACAAATGGGCGCGAGTACATCCAGCAGGAGTACCAACCCGAAGGACTATTGAGGTTCAAGTTGGGGATAGGGAGGGCTCAGGGTTTAGGCTTAGGGATCGGGAGTCGTCACTACCCTAAACCCTGAACCCAAGGCCCCAAGCCCTAAGCCCCAAACCCTAAACCCCAAACCCTAATTCCTGACCTCACGTAACCGAGGTGCGAGGCCACTTTGCTTGGTCCCTGATGGAGAACTTCGAGCGGGCGCTCGGGTGCCCTTGCTGTCTCGGTTCAGTTAAATACTGGGGTTCAGGGCTTAGATTTCTAACAGAAAAGGTTCAACAAGTTTTCAAGGGACGAAGGGAGGGACTCTTATAAGGGACCTTCGGCGTTATGTAGGGTTCCCATGCTAAGGTTTGTAGTATGTTGGGGTCATATTAGGGGTACTCCTTTTTTGGGAACTGCCCATGTCAATGACTGCAGACATGGAACAGAGCACTTGATGTTCCTGTAGTCTGGGTTCAGCGTGGTTTAGAGTGACAAGTCGCTCATCCACCCTCGCAAATGATGCAATCCAGGCTTCTACACTACTGTGACGCAATGCAAATGGGCATTATTTGACAGGTACTCAAAGCGGGTTCGGAATGGTGTACATCGATTACGAGACGCAAAAGAGGCCGCGGGTTTCATCTTGCACAGTGGTTCGCAGTCTGAGTATGCGAGGGGCATCAGGACCCACACACAGTGTTTCTAGAGGATTCGGATGACAGCCCTAAACCCTGCAGCCCAAAACCCTATAAACGTTGAACCCCAAATCGCCCACAAGAAGCAACACCTTAGCTTGACAGAGGACGCCGAAGCAGTCCACGCTGCTCATCTCGGAGGTGGCGCAGTCGAACAGACTCTGCCGGAATCCACTTTCCAGGCCGCCGTTGTAACTTGTCGGGTTTGGGGTTCATTGAGGTCGTTGGAAGGGCTTCAGGCGCTGCATACCGTGTAGCCTTACGTTTGATTTTTTACCTTGCTGATCAGAAATGACCCCGGCACCGACGAGCCCGAGTTATCCCGACGCCAGGATCGGGGACCTAGCAGCAGTTTAAGGTTGGCGGCGGTTTAAGGTTGGCTGGCAGCCTCGCCAGATTCCGACACCGGCCTCTTCATTGTTTGCACTTTGGTTTGTGGTTTGAGGTTTACATAATAGGGTGTAGGCTTTGGGGTTTCGGAGTTCGGTGTGTTAATTCGCCTCACCCGACACAGGAATCCGACTTCGTGATGATCGAGGAGGGTGCCGGGCGCAAGACGACGAAAGATGCACCGGTCAGAAGAAGGGCTGAGAGCAGCTTCTGCGGTGGCCTATAGGGCGTTCGGTCTAGGGTTTAGTAGTGTTGAGTTTTTAGGCTTTAGCTCTTTTGGGCTAGAAGCAAGACCAGGCACGTGCTTGCATAGTTTTTCATCCACGCAACCATGCTTGTCCATGCAACCTTGCATGAGACATTGGTAGATGCAGGAGGCTGTTTGTGGCAAGTATGGCTTGTTGGCGGTCACATGTATCACGCCCGAGGTCAAACAGACCTGTTCTTTTGACATGGGTGGCGAGATAAGATGTTTTGTCCTCCAAGATTCCGAGCTCTGCTGAACAGCAGTGCTATGGCTCTACGAAGCTGCAAGCTTCTCACCTGACAGAAGCCCTCAGCATTCCAATGCTGAACAGGACCAGTATGTTTTGCCTAAGCAACCAGTTCGACAGCTCGATGTGGTGCGGACGAAACACGAGCCAAGATGCACCCAGCAGCACGACGTGAAATATGGATCCTGGAGTGACCCTTATAGGCCCAGATATGTGGAGCTTCTGCACATTCTACGCTTCTGAACTCTCATAAGCTGGTGTCACTTTGAGCAGCCTACGTAGAGATGCTGTCGTGACTGTCCCGTGTCGAGCTGTGGCTCAAGATACCCAAGAGCTTGCAACCATTTGTTTAGTCATGGCCAGCACAATCTTCCAGCTGCCGCCTGCGTTTGTAGGTGAGCAGGCTGTGTATGGGCCAAATTATCGCGGAGGCCTCGCGCCTCCAGCGGATCACTGGGCCAAGACCGCCCACCCCAGGGCACCCTGGCCCCCCGGGCCACTCCAGCAGTTCCAGCAGTGGCCACTCCAGCAGTGGTGCTGGGCACCAGCTTCCCCAGCGCCCCCACCCATCATGAGCTATGCCGTTGGGCAGGGGCTGTGCTACCAGCCTGCCCCGGCAACCGCCTGGATGCCTGTGAACCAGGCACCCTATGCACCCGTGCCTCCACCCATATTCTATCCAATGCCATGCCCTCAATACCAGCCGGCAACTCCTGCCTGGACTCCCGCTCTCCAAGCACCCATGCCCATGCCTCCGCCACCACCACCAGCGCACTTCCCACCACCACTCCCTCCCACGCAAGCGCCCTTGCAGGCTCCCGAAGCACCGCCCACGGCACATCCGGCGCCCTCCAAGGAGCCAAGCACGCACAAGCCCCGCTGGGCAGACCTTTCAGAGGAGCCCCCAAAGTGGGATGTCACAGATGTCGCGACCTCGTCCCAGGAGCCCCTTCCCACGCTGCTTCCCCGCCCTCCACGTGGCCCGCAAGGGAAGGGGCGAGGGAAAGGATCAAAAGGTCACGGCAAGGGAAAGGGAACGAGAAAGTGGCGCCAGTAAGGGAGGAGTCTCGGCGCAAGCATTCCTGCAGGCCTCTCTGAATGCACTCATGTCGCAGTGTTTTCACTCAGCATGAAGCATGAAGCATGAAGCAGCCATCTTGCGTAAGCTGACGCATTCCAGGACCTTGGCTGAAGCTACGCCAGAAGTCGCAGGCCACGGCGACGGCCCGATGCCTGAGAAGGGACGCAGTTCGAACGAGTCTGAAGTTAGAATCGTAGAAGAGGTGACAAAGCCCTCCCTCCATCGATTGTTTCATCTGTGGACACTTCGCCTAGCGAAGGACTGCCGTCCGGGCACCCGCCAGAAATTGATGTGTCGCAGTTGTGAGACCCAGCTGATTGCAGCTGCAAGCCATTGCAAGCCCTACCTCCTACCCACACCCTCAAATGACCCACACTGGCCTGCACATTGTTTATTTTGGGGCCGCAGTTTCTGGAGTTAGAATCGTAGAAGAGGTGACAAAGCCCTCCCTCCGTCGA